GTTGAATAAAGGGCGTCCCTTGACAACTTTAGGTACAAGTTGACGTTTCACCCGGGAAACGAGATTTGCTCGCTCAGTGAAGCCACAGCGAAGCAAAGCTCAGTTTTCCGTCTGCTGTCAGGAAATACCTGGCCAGTCTACCCTTAACGTCCTTTCTTGTTTGGTTTTCTTCCCCCTCACCCCTCACCCCCAGCCCTCACCCCCCCCCCCGCCTTTTGGACATATTTTTGTAATTGCTTGTCCTCAGGTACAAAGATGCTTACAGGAAGTCATTAATCTTTCATGAGCCCATTCTGCCATTTCTTAATTCCGAACAATAAAAAAAGGCTCCGAGGGGCAAGCATTCTCCTGTCACTGTGTGCTTCAAGGGAAAGGAAGTTTTTTTGAGGGGGGGAACAAATCTGATCAAACGAGAGAGAGAGAGAGAGAGAGAGAGAGAGAGAGAGAGAGAGAGAGAGATGGCTGTGTTAAGGAGAAGAAAATAACAAAGCACTGGGAAGAAGGGAAAGGGAGAATGACACCTTAGATTCTTTCTTTCTGGGCTGAGAAAGCAGGTCAGAATCTGCAAGCAGGAGAAATGTGACGATGTGTTTGGGCCCAGATTTCCCTCCTCGTGTGTGCAGAGAGGGTCCTGCTCCCTTGCTAGTTGCTGCCCATCTTTTAAAAGGCTCTTGTTTGCTGTACAAAGCAGGTGTGGCAGGGGCTAAATGGAGAGAAGCTGGCCAGCTGGAGTCAACCATCCACCAGCTGCCCACGAGAGGCTTAGAAAAATGCCACCTGTCACTAAACAAGGAAGGGAAGAGCGGGAGGGAAACAACAGCCACATCACAAGAACCAGCTCATTCTTTTGCTATTGTTCTCGCTCTTGTGGCTGGCCTGCTCCAAATCCAACAGGAGTATGAAAGGAACTCATCTGTGCAGTTTGCTTACTCTAATGGTAGGCAAAGACGACATGGGGAACTGGAGGGGGGGATAATCCAGTTGGTCCAGGTCACAGGGTAAACATGCAAGATCATAATCCTATCGGAGATCATACCAGATGTAACATCAGAGACCATAGCTTAGCTTCAGGGAGTAGCTCAGTGGTGGAGCATCTACTTTGAATGCAGAAGCCCTCAGGTTCAACCCCTGGTCCAGGTAGGGCCAGGAAAGACCCCTGCCTGAAACCACAGGAGGGCAGCTGCCAGACAATGTAAACACAACTAAGCTACATGGACCAATGGTCTGGCTCAGTATAAGCAGCTTGTGATGCTCCTGATGTTTACATGTGTGTTGCAACGTTTGGGCCAATGAAAGATTCTAGCAAGCATGCAGTTGTAATAACTTACCTAGAATGATGTGCTTTGGAGGGCAAATTAGATGTATGGTATCAAGGATCAAATTTCCCTTGTTTTCTGAAAATGCAGCTGCTGGGCCACCCAATCTGGATCAGGACTACAGTGCTGGGAGACTTTCTTTATAGGGTATTTTCTAGAACCCAATCACTTCCCATGACTTTGACCCACAGACCACGACATACAGGCATTTAATGAACATTAAATGTTTGCTAATATAGGATAGTAGAGACACTTTGCCCAATGGTTTTTTGTTTTTGTTTTTGCACAGTCATTTCTGTTTGTGACTATTTATTTACTTATTTAGCTATATAGCATAACATTTACCTATGTCTGGGAAATTTTTTAAGTACATTGCATTTCCATGGTACAGACTGATTTATGTGTCAACTGTAAAAATATTTCATGCTTTTGACATGCCAAATGATAGGCCTTGTCACAAAACCTTCTGTTTTATTTAAAAAAAGAGCTTGCTTAAAATTCTAGCCCTCAGCCATATCAACAAAGAGACATAAAACAAACTGCTTTTAAAAAAAAAGCAATCTTATGTTTTTATTCCACATTTGCAACCATTATAGTATATCATTTCCCACAGTGGTTACAAGTGTAGAAACATTTCGTGCATTTAGCATATGTTTTCAATGGAAACCGCTCTGATCTTTTCATACAAATGTATAAATATAAGTAATGCTACTCTTTGTTGCACTTTTATTAAAAATAAGTTTCTACTGTTGTGTTTGGAAGGCACATTCTTAAATGACACTTTCATTTCTTAGAGCATGTTCTTGGTATCCTCTCTACATGGTGATATATCATTGCTAATTCATTTCAACTGTGAGTCAGCCCTTGAAACCTGTTTTCCAGGGCCACATGCACACCATTCATTTGAAGCACCATGGTACCTCTTTGAATAGCCATGGATTCCCTCAAAGAATCCTGGGAAGTATAGCTTGTTAAGGCAGAGTCAGATTTGGGGGAGCGCAACCAGTGTGGTCACAGCGGGTGTGGAGCCTTGGGGCTGCCACAGGGGCATCGCAGCTATGAAGAAGAGGAGGAGGAGGAGGAGGAGTTTGGATTTGATATCCTGTTTTATCACTACCCAAAGGAGTCTCAAAGCGGCTAGTATTCTCCTTTCCCTTCCTGCCCCACAACAAACCCTCTGTGAGGTGAGTGGGGCTGAGAGACTTCAGAGAAGTGTGACTAGCCCAAGATCACCTGGCAGCTGCATGTGGAGGAGCGGAGACGCCACCCGGTTCACCAGATTACGAGACTACCGCTCTTAACCACTACACCACACTGGCTCTGAAGTAGTCCAAAAGGCGAGAAGCGGGTGCCGTTGAATTTCAGTGTCACACAGGGCACCGCTGAAATTTGAGACCCCAATGGCCACCACTGGTTAAGGGTGCTGAGAGTTTTTAGGAGACCCCTACTCCCCTCCCAAAGCTACAATTTCTCAGTTCCCCAGGAAGATGGTTGATTGTTGAACCACTCTGAAAATTGTAACTCTGGGAGGGGAACAAAAATCTCAGCACCCTCACCAAACTGCAGTTCCCCTGATGTATGGCGTGAATAAAGCCCTGGCCTCGGTCTTGGACAATCTGTAGTTGTATAAGGCATATGAACATGTAGAAATTCACCAGTGAGTGACCTCCTTGTAGAATCATAAAATTACCAAGTTGGAGGCCATACAGAGGACAAGGAAAAGAGCTGAGTTGTAGGATCTGTGAGCATTGTAAGAGCTGCCTCTCTCGTGAGATCTGATGTGAGCCGCTAGATTTAGCCATCTCTGGAGTATTCGAGTTACACCTCCACCTTAGCTCAGCCTGTATATTTGTAAACAACTGCAGGTATCACAAAATACCAATAAGCCTCCAGTGACCTCCCATCCCAAGGAAATCTGTGCTGCACCCCCTGGAATATCTCAGTACTCCAATATGTGGGTGAGCATAACAATACAGTGAGAGAACGTATAGGATTTGAGAAGCATTTGTGAGCCTTTATGCTCTGCTAACTCTCCCACAAATCCATTTTTGCAGGCTCTGATAAAAGTCCTGGTCCCCTCCCTTTCTGTAGAGCTGATTGAACCCTTGCCTAAAACACCATCAGGGCTCCAATAGACAAACAGCGAAGTCCAACCTCACTTGCCCAGGAGAGCAAACAAAGCAGGCTTGGTTTTGTGCAGCATGGAAGAGTATAGTGAGTCGAGAAAGGCAGCGTTCATTCCTGCAGCTGCCACCATCTGTGCTGGGCCCTCTTTGGCACCCCATAGCTTTGTGTGGTTCAAGCACAGCTCACTGCCTGACTCCGTTTTTCCCCCATGGCAGTTTTAACTGGGCTCACTCCCCAGTCCCTGGTGGGGTGGAAAGCTGCTACTTTCTTGGTTCTAATACTGCAATACAGGAAGCTGAGGCTCCAGGCCAGCTTAGGAGCAGCAGCCACAGTTCCAAAGCAGGGCCAACAGAACGAGGTCTGATCCCTTCTGCCAATATTGGGAAATGCAGGGGAGAGAGACGTCTGCCATTGGCTCAGTTGCACATGTTGGGCCTCTGCAAGGCAAATAAATATGCTTCCTTGAGATGAATATTAAACTGAGAGAAAAAGCCCAAGGGATGCAAGTTGATTATTGAAACTGAGTCTATAGGCATCCAAAAGGAACCAGGGATTGCGTGGTCATAAGAACAGTGGAGTCATGAGCAGGGATGGGTGAGTATTTCAATTTCAGTTTTTCTCAGTTTCTCATTTTTCCAGCCTTAAATTCAGTTCATCACATTTCCACATCAGTTTGTGATTTGTTTATCTTAGTGCAAACTTCTTGTGATATACACATTTTAGTATGCAGTTTTGCCTAATAGTTATGCAGTTTCAGCCACACTGCCTTGCCCCTGCAACAGTGGGGGCTCGGGGAGTGTGTGTATGACATTGGCACACTGGCAGCATGCTGACGTCACTCAACACATGTTGGGGGATGCCAATGTGACCAAGTGCAATCTTCATTTGTGCCCCTTCATTTATGATTTGTGGGTGCTTGGGCACCTAGGACCCCGCACATTCAGTGTCTATGCCTAACATAATGCATTTTTAAAGTTATATTCACTAAGGTATGCACTTATACGAAGACTTTACCCTAGTAAATACATTTTTGTACACATGGACTTGCAAAATTCAGAGCAGTGAAAATTTCAAAGGGTTTGTGTCACAGTTCTCATATTGTTTTGGAAGGTGCAAATGAGGTAAGTTTGCTATTAAATGCAAACTGAATCAAATTTCCCTCCCATCACTAGTCATGGGTGAAACCAGTTTTGTCTTACTTTTTCTGGCACAACCATTCTGCATTTCTCCGGTCTCAAGATTTTAAGCCTGCATTTTCAGATTTCCAAGAGGAGGGCAGGGAGCCGGTTATTTCTGCTTGGGTCCATTCCCAGCCATCTCCAAAAATATATTATGAATATTACAGTAAGTGAAATTAGAGCTTTTCTATGACCCCGTACACTGACCTACAGCCAGAGCCCAGCAGACTTAGCCTCTTGATTCACTAAATGTGAACGGTTTTGGCCAATCCAGCAGCATGAAGCGTCATCGCCTGATTGAAGAGGAGTCACCAGATCTGGCCTCAACATATCAAGAAGTACCCAGAGCTCCCGGACTCTCACCTCCTAAATCTTTGGGTGTGATCCTCAGGAGATTCAGCATGCCTTTAACACATGAAACATTTATTGTAATAGCTTTTGAAAGCCTATATTTGCTGATGTAGACATTTCATTAAGAGCCTGTCACATTTTTAAAATAATAATATCCATGAGCAACAGTCACCTGTCAAGATCTACAAAAGGAAGACCCTGTACACCTCATTTGTTTCAGGGAAAGAGAGACATTGGGTGACAGCTAGAGCCTGGAAAGACAAGCAGATATGTGTCTGCTCAGAAGGAAGTCCAGGTGAGATCAACAGGACTTCCTTTCAGGTAAGTGAGTAGAAGATTACAGCCTTGTATGTTTGGGTTTTGTGGGGGAAAGATTATACAGTACAATCTTATGCACCTCTATTCAGTTTAGATTTACTTCTGAGTAGGCATGGATAGGAATGTGCTGTTGTTAATTCATTTTAATTTTGTACATAGTTAAATAGACTCCTATATAACAAGGAAATAAATGGGCTAAATAGGCAAAAGATGTTTTCAAAGTGTGAACGTCCTCTCCATGAGAATAAATGTGCCTGGGCAATGAGTCCTGCCTGCCCCCATTAAAGTGAATGACAAACTTTCCTTTGCCTTCACAGGAGCTAAGATTTCACTCAATGTGACACAAGCAGATTATTTCCAAACAGACTGTCTTTTTGTGTTTTCTAGAAGGCATCAGGGCTTCTTTAAAACATAAGTGTCTGCCAAGAGCCATCGAGCTTTGAACACATGTTTGGCTTTCTTGAAAACCATTGGCAAACTTCAGCTGCTGTATTTCAGACAGGCCTGGATCTCATTGTTGGGTGGGGAAAAAATCCACCCTAATGAAAATAAACAGGTTAAGGCTACAACTCCTTACACGCTTACTTAGGAGCAAGTCTCATTGAACTTAGCAAGAATTACTTCTCAGGTAGACATACAAAGGATTTTGCTATCAAAGCCATTCATTGTTTAACAGCAACACAAAAATCAAATGAAATGAAAGGCTTTGCTTCATAATTGTGTATAGCCTGATCTTGCATGAACTCACCATAGAAGAATTTTTCTGTGCTGCCCTAGAGGGAAGACCTAGGGGCTCGCCCCCACTTCTGCTAGCCCCATGCCTAGAATCCACAGGTCTGAGCAGTTTTCCCCTTCCCCGCTCCTTTCTCAGGGAAAACCCACTCTTTTGTGCTAAATCGGAGCAAATGTCAGTTTGGAGAAAACCTGTAGCTTCAGCACTACAGAATAGTTTTCCCTGGGGGAAAGCAGCGCGACAAGAGGAAGTATGGATAAGCCCTGTGTCAAATGGGCTGAAGTAGCAGAAGGGTAGATTTCAATGGAACATCAGGAGAAAAGTCTTGACGGTAAAAGCTGTTTGGCAGTGACCTTGGTTGTGTAAATGGCTTTAAAATGCAGCTAAGCTGTTCTTTTTCTCAGTTTAGATGAAAGCTGGTTTGGGGGGGAAACACATCAAAACGCAGTATTTCATTAGAAACAACAGGATAGATACAAGATAGCTAGAGTCGGACACGACTAAACGACTAAACAACAACAAGCTATTGATTGGGACTAACTTCATGCACGTACCATTTACCAAAACAGAGAGCGGAGTGCACTCAATGAAGAGTCTCAAGGTGGAAACTGGGGGTGGGGTTAGGGATTTTCTACATCAGACAGGTGATGAACATGATGTCCTCATGTTCAAAGAAGAAGAAGAGGAATTTGGATTTGATATCCCACTTTATCACTACCCGAAGGAGTCTCAAAGCAGCTAACATTCTCCTTTCCCTTCCTCCCCTACAACAAACACTCTGTGAGGTGAGTGGGGTTGAGAGACTTCAAAGAAGTGTGACTAGCCCAAGGTCACCCAGCAGCTGCATGTGGAGGAGCGGAGACGCGAACCCGGTTCACCAGATTACGAGTCCACCACTCTTAACCACTACACCACACTGGCTCACATAAAGAACCTTTCAGCAGAGAGAGAGAACATCAAATACAGTGGTACCTTGGTTCTCAAATGTAATCCGTTCCGGAAGTCCATTCGACTCCCGAAACCATTCAAAAACCAAAACACGGCTTCCAATTGGCTGCAGGAGCTTCCTGCACTCAAGAGGAAACCGCGTCGGACATTTGGCTTCCAAAAAAAGTTCAAAAACCAGAACATTTACTTCCAGGTTTTCAGCGTTCGAGAACCAAGGTACAACTGTACTGTAGCTGTTCTCCAGAAGTATTGGCAGGACATTGAGTATTTCCTAAAAACAACAGAGCACTGAGTTCAAAAATGGAAGAAAGGAACTTAGAAGCAAGCTGGCAAACAATGTAAGAATCCACAATGGCTAAGTTAGGGACCTTTGCTGAAACTATTCCTTGTCTCGTGATTAAGAAGGAAAAGGGCATCCCAAAGGGAAGGGCGAGAGTGTGTGGGAGAGAAACCGTTTATTGCCTTCTGATTAAGAAAGGGGTGCATGTGAGAGAGAGAAAGATGTCACAACCTGTTTACTGAGCATTCATCGTGATTTGTTTGCACAAAGTTTGTGGGGAGGTAAAGTTTGTAACCCCAACTGCTTACTGAGCATTTGTCTGCAGGGAAGTTATACAATAACATAAGCACTGAAGAGGAGTTCTGCTGGATCAGACCAAAGGCCCATCTAATCCAGCATTCTGTTCTCACAGTGGCTAGCCAGACCACCAGCTGGTTGAGTGGTTGGTCAAGTAATGGTTATCCTACATTTTCCAGCACATTTCCACATCACTTTCCTTACTGCAAGTGTGTGTGTGTGTGTGTGTGTGTGTGTGTGTGTGGAGAGAGGGGGAAGGGAGGGAGTATTTTGCACCTGAGCACTAAACCCACTTTAATTGTGCAACCTGAATCTACTGGTATATGTTTGAACCCCACCTGCAAAAGAACAATTGTCTTGGAGGGAAAGAGACTGTTGGGGGTTTTATGTCTCCTGTTATGAAGTAGCCATTTAACGTTTGGGTTTTGAGCCAGAGAGGTTTTGCTTGCTCATTAGAAGTTCTCCCTTTCCTAGGAAATACTAGTACTCTTCTCTGTATACTGCATGGCCAACCAATTAGAAACAAGGTCCTTGCGTTTATTGGTCAAAATGGATCTAATTCTACTGAAGTACAAATTGTATTACACTAGTCTCGAAGCGGGGGACCTTCTCTGAGTTAGGATCCAATCTCAGGCCTTGCTTTAGACACTGTTTTCTGGATCAGATTATAGATAGATCCAGAGGGGTTATGAAGCATAGCTGGAGTCAAGGGATGAGTCCAGTTGGGTTTTCCCCCTGGTATCTCTGCGAGTGAGTCCTTCCCATAAGGAGGTGCACACGATGTACTATACCTATTGCCTTTTCGAGTCCCAGGTTTCATAAAGATGTTGTTCTGGCACATCATGATAGGGAAAGGTGAAATGTGTCCAGCACAAGCCAGGGTAATCCATTCCAGACATATGTGTAATGCGGGGGGGGGGAGAACAGGTGCAAACAATTGAGCCAGCTGTCAGTAAGCTCCAGTGATTGCTTTTGATAGCTTAATCGTTAGTTGATCCATGTGCAACATTGGCAACATCACTGCCATAGTTGACTGCCTCCTACACATCTGTAAACCTTTTCTAGGTGCTTCTTGACATGAGTGGGAGTCCACAAAGCCCTGACATCATAGCAGGCTAAATTAGACATGATTGCTGCCATTTCTGTTTTCCTGCTACAGAACACGGAAAGCTGACAAATGTCAATAACTGCTAATAATTCACTAGCCACTACTGTTTGCCACATGCCACGCAAGGCATGTGCTCCAGCAAACATCCATCATAACTCGGTTAGCTTGAGAATCTCTGTGTGGATAAAGAAATCGTTATGCAGCCTTTCCATCTATCACTGATGGAACTTACTTCTGAATCAACATGCATTGATTGTGCTGTAAGAAGCTTAGTCCTGTCTGTTACATTTCCACTCATGGGGTGGGGAAATGGATTAAGGAGGGCAGGTAAAAACAGGATAGCAGCAGCAAGTGGCAACCATTCCATCTCGTAGAGTGCATAAGTTCATAAATAGCAAGACTCAGATCCATTTCACTCTGTCAGCTCCACCCTCAGCTGTATAATTCATATAACACTATTTTAAAAAATGTAACACCGCTCTCCATTCTAGAAATCAATAGCCGGGTTCTAACAAACTATGAAGGGATGCGGGTGGCACTGTGGGTTAAACCACAGAGCCTAGGACTTGCCGATCAGAAGGTCGGTGGTTCGAATCCCCGCAATGGAGTGAGCTCCTGTTGCTCGGTCCCTGCTCCTGCCAACCTAGCAGTTCAAAAGCATGTCAAAGTGCAAGTAGATAAATAGGTACCGCTCCGGTGGGAAGGTAAACGGTGTTTCCATGTGTTGATCTGGTTTGCCAGAAGTGGCTTAGTCATGTTGGCCACATGACCCGGAAGCTGTACGCCGGCTCCCTCGACCAATAAAGTGAGATGAGCGCCACAACCCCAGAGTCGGCCACGACTGGACCTAATGGTCAGGGGTCCCTTTACCTTTACCTAACAAACTATGAACTAGTTCTGTATACACCCAACCACTAATTTCTCCCAAGACTTCAGTTTTTCTGCCTCTTTTTCAGGGTGCTTTAGACGTTCTTTATCTTTTCAATGGGTGCAGGATTGAACTTAATATATCATTGTGAAGCAGCTGTGGGTGGTGCATGTTCTTTTATTCCCATTAAACACTCTGAAGCCTCCCCTGCTGCCTATGTCTCCTGATCTAAAAAAAACCTAAAAACCCTGTGGGAGGAATTGCCTCATTTTAAATGAAGTGTGAGAAGTTGAAAAGGTGACTACGGAGCGTCTGATGTGCTCCCTGACTTTGTTTTTAAGATAAGGTTTCATTTTACCATTATTATTATTATTATTATTTTTAAAAGCTTTCTGCACTGATTTCTTTGTAAAATAAAAATGCTTCTCTCTTGAAAAGGCACACAATAGGGAGTGTGGTTCCCCTCTGCACATACATAAAAGCCCAGCTGAGGATGTCATGGGGTTTTCAGGAAGTGAAGGCACCCAGAGAGGCTGCAGGGTGCAGATTTGAAGACTGAAAGTACCTACACAAACATCCCTTGGCCACCTCAGAAATCAGCTAAGTGCAGCAAAATAACCTCCACCCTTTCCACAATAATTTCTCCAATTTTTTCTCTCCCTTTTGATCATGTTCAAATGTAATTACTGCTCTTGGTAATTGATGAAGAATAATAGAGGGAAATGCAGGAGAACTTCTCCCAAATACTGTGAGCTGTTGGGTTTGTATTTCACAGAGAGGAACCATCCATGCCTCGTGGCAGATCACGGGGGAACTGATGGGAATTTCAAAAGCAACTTGCTAAGGTGAGACATGGTAGTCTACTCTTTTTGCATGTGTGTGCAGGTAATAAAGACATGGCATGAACTGCAGGCACGTTTCTGGAATTCTGCATGATCACCAGGCAGCAATTTCTACATTTTACTCCGTGCGTATTGAGGTGTGGCCATCTCTCACGGGCATGATTCCATGCCTGGAAAAAGTGTGCATTGGTTCTAAAAGTGGCTGATAATCATGGTCTGGCTGGGACCGCTCAGCTTCTTCCTCCTAGAATTTGCTCCATCAGTGGCCATTCCACCTGGTCTTTCTGTAAATTGAACAGAGCAAGGGACACAGGAATCTGCCTTAAACTGAGTCAGAACACTGGTCCATCTATCTCAGTATCATCTGAACTGCCTGGTAGCAGTGCTGCAGGGATTCAGACAAGTCTCTTCCAGCTATACCTGAAGATGCTAGGGCCTAAACCTTCCAGGACCTAAACTTTCTGCATGCACAGCAGATTCACAATGATCCTCAAGTGCCTCCCCTCTTTTCTTCCTATAAGCCATTATAACAGAAGAAAATCCTGATGGATCAGGCCAAAGGCCCATCTAGTTTAACATTCTGTTCTCAGAGACCAACAAGATGCCTCTGAGAAGCTTGCGAACTAGACATGAGCACAACAGTACTGTCCAACTTACATGCTTCACAAGTGTCCCAGAAAAAACATCCCATTTTTTATCATGAGAGAACAGCAGCCATATTGGTTGCCACATTCTCATGCAATTTGTGGGTATGATTTCTCCCAGGGGAAGCGCTTTTTGGGGGCTGTGATCTCACACAGCGCCTCAAAATACACATTTTGGGGCATATATCTGAAAAGGCGCTTTTAGGGAGGGACCATGGTGTGAAATCAACTTTGTGCTCTTGTGATTAAAAAAGAAGAAGATGGCATCCAGGAAGATGGCATCTCAAATTCTGGCTTCAAAGTGTTAGGGGGTACAAACTTGTTTCCCCAGAAACTGGTACTCAGAGGCATAATACCTCTGACATTGGAAGTAGAACATAACCAGCATCATGAGTAGCCCATGAAAGTTTTTTCCTTCATCCATTTGTCTAATCCTCTTTTAAAGTCATCCAAGTTGGGGGCCATCTCATCGTTCTGCCACTGGACCTGTCTAGTCTAATTTTAATTTTGGGTGCAGTGCAGGGTGGCTTTTCAATGCCTGTTAACAACCATAAGTGATAAAGTTATTAAATAACACCTTCAAGTCTTCATTTTTGTCTCTTTTTTACTCCTTACTTCTTTTGGCATTTAGCATTTCACAGAATCTTCTGTTGACCTCTCGGTTCAGAATCGTTCCTACCACAGTAGCAGCTGTCCCTGCCGAAGAAATCGTGGATTCAGTTAAATTCCCCCCAAGCATCTCGAGGCCTTTAGGCATGTGCTATAAATTTAAAAGTTCTAATTATAGCCGGGAGCAGCAGGAATTACAGTCATGAAAAGCAGGAACAAATGGAAGAATAGCTCAGCAACTGAAAGAGATCGATTTTGCCTTCCCCTCCCCTCTGGGCCATCCTCTCTTGAGGATCTCTGAGGGTACATCTGCCACCCTGACAAAGCACACCCTCCCGCAGTCACCCAGCAGCTCAACTTATAAACCTACCAAACCTGAGAAGGGACAGGTCTTTGATACAGAGCCTCTATTTGCCACAGTTATCTGTCTTGTGAAAAAAGTAAACACAAGAGGACATCAAGACACGCTGCATATTTCTGGTTAGAATTATTCACAGTCAAAACTTTAAGAAAGAATAGGAAAGTTTTGTAATTTATTAAGGAGACCACTGTAAGCAGATGAAAACATTAGCAGGATTCTAGTAACACTTGTTGTGCAACAAATACCATGGAAAATATGGAGAGATATAAATATGGATGATGAAATAATATGCAGCTGAAAACGTTGACAATATGACCCATGGAGGGGATGGTGGGAAGTCTGGAGATTCAGAGAAATCTCTAAATATGGATATATATTTGGTATTGTTATAAATTTGCACTTGTAAAACCAAATAAAAATTATTTGGGAGGGGAGAATTATTCACAGTCAATACTAGGTTTTCTGTCAGGGCACTTCAAAAATTGTTAATATTGTTATTATTTAGACAGAAAGGTGAAATAAGCCCAAACTGTAATGTTTCTAATTTGGTTCCGTTTGAAACTTTAGCAGAAGGCCAGCTCAATGCCAGCTTTGGTTCCACTGGTATGATCCAAAATGGTTATTATAAGTCCGAGTAGCACATCACGGTCAGGGGAAAAGGCAATGTGGTTTGCAGCGACCAGAAAGGTTAATCTAAATTATCCCGGAGATTAGCTCTGAGACAGTGCGCGGTTCCACAAACATCACCGCTGGTGTCCTGAGCAGTGATCTGATACTCTTTGCTTTTGTTAGCATTTGCAGGGAGACTAATCCAGAAAACTCGGGTGAGGTGAAGACATAATTTTATAGGTGAAGTTGTCAGTCTCCTTGGGTGAGTTATGGGGCTCGACTGACAGTGGAACAGTAGCGTGGAAGTTACAGGTCAAGATGCTCCAAAGGAGCTCTCGCTGAACAAAGCAACCCAAAAGGCAAAGGCGTAAAATTGCAGTCTCTATAAAACATAAGGCAGCAGGGCCTCGCGTTGTGAAAATGGCAGCGCTTCCAATTTGTTAGGTATGATCTGAATGATCATACTAGCTCGGAATAAATGGGCAGACAAGAAATCTTCGCAAAGCAATTAAGACTATACTTGTGGCAAAGCAACATTCCTCCCCTACCCCTTTTATAAGAACCTTCCTTACAGTGGCTCAGTTCATTGGTCCATCAAGCTCAGGCTACCAACCCTGACCGGCAGCAGTGACCCTTCAGGGTTTCAGGCAGGGTCTTTTTTCATACCTGGAGATGCCAGGGTTCTTCTGCATGCAAAGCAAATGCTCCACAGCTTTTTCCACCAATGCACACATCCCTGCTATCCTTTTAACATAGAGGGATCGAGATCTACCTGACTTAAGCTGCATCTCAGTTATTATTCAAAGAAAACAAGCATTTAACCCTCATGAAAGTGGAGGTCTTGAATGTGCATCATCTGCTAAACAATAACTTGGGCTTTTTTTGCAAACTGCCTTGTGATAAGACTTTCTAAAAGACAGGCTATAAATGACAAAATAAGAGAAAATATATAATAAGAGCCCCTGATCAAAAGCTTTATGTTTATTTCAATGTGTGCATAGAGTTTCTGGGGGAGCAGACTGTCCCAGTCATTTCTAAAGAAGGCCCAGTTCTAAATAAGCATCCCTTTGGACTCACAGAATTGCCCCACTTTACTGGAATGAACAGGTGAGAGTTGCTTGCTACCATTGGAGGAGAGCAGAAATCTCAAATAGGTTTGTACAGAGTTTTCTGTGTTGGGAGATGGCATTTCTGGATTCTGCACTTTCTCAGTGCCACAATTTCTTTTCTCTGACCCACATGCCTGGTTTTCCTAGTGCTTCTGTTATCTTACTCCCTACAAAACAGCTATCGCAGCCAAAAGAATAAAGATTGCGCAATAAGCTGGGGTGGTTATGCCATTTCAGTAAACGAGTGACATTTTCTCACAACTCTGATGGAGGCTGATCACAGAATATGGGAGCCAGGACTGTGCAGGTTAGGATTCTGAGTGACAATAACAAGACTAAAAGTCATTCACCATCCAGCTATCTTCCCAAAGCTGCTTTACTGCCAGTACCATCTGTCCTCAGATGCTTCCGCCTGCACACTGCAACCTGTTCTGTGTTTTCTTGCCCTCTTCATACTGGTATTTCATGAGGTTGCTCACTAGAGCCAGCTTGGTGCAGTGGTTAAGAGTGGTGGACTCGTAATCTGGTGAACCGGGTTCGCGTCTCCGTTCCTCCACATGCAGCTGCTGGGTGACCTTGGGCTAGTCACACTTCTTTGAAGTCTCTCAGCCCCACTCACCTCACAGTGTTTGTTGTGGTGGAGGAAGGGAAAGAAGAATGTTAGCCGCTTTGAGACTTCTTAGAGTAGTGATAAAGCGGGATATCAAATCCAAACTCTTCTTCTTCATCATCTGCTTTTCAGCACTATGCAAATTCTCATCCTTTAAAATAAAAAAAACCAAACCTAGATATTATAGCCGTAATAAAATCAAATTCCATGTACATTTAAGGCTTTGTCCTAGAAAGTTACACCTCCCAACTCCAGAATGCTACTGTGACTTTGAAAGAAACTCCTACAGGTCCCATATTCATGCTATACCTGGCTAATATACATGTCTCACTATCCTCACAATTCATAAAAGAAATATGGTTGGACTAGATGAAACTCATGGTCCCTTCCAATGCTATAGTTCTATGATGTGGTGGTTGGAATTCTAGTTTCTCCATTATTGGAAAGTCCCAAAGTTTAGTGTAACAGTTCTGGATATTCAGACCCAAGGTGTTTTTGCATTGCTAGTTGGCAACTTTTCAGCAGCTGGCAGCCACCAGCATGGTCACTGCTGGTCACTGCTCCCCACTCAGCACATGCACAGTTTCATAGTGTAAGGTTAACAGTCCCTCTGCCTCCTCTACTGTCTTGAGATGCCCTCCAACAACAGCACTGCCCTCCACATCATGCAGTAACACACGCAGGTGTTTAATGCGTCTTTGCTTTTAATGTTTTTCCCCGCTCTGTACATAGCAGCCACTGGTGTGCTGGGATGATAGCAGGATATCCACAGGATCTCATCAGGATCACAGCAATAAGGATGGCAGTTTAACCTTTTCCTCCCATGCTTCAATGCTGATGAAAACTGCTCCTCTGAAGCTGCTGTTTGCACTCCGAGGAATGCTGCTATTGGTGCCAGAGGGTTTTTTCCTTCCAATGCAAATAGCAGCTTCAAAAGAGCAATTTTTTGAGTCAGGATTGTAGCCAAGGGGGAAACTCCCTTTCCAAACTGTTTAGACCCCAATAATTATCACACCTTGGCTGCTATTTGCTTCTTATAGAATGTGCATTAAATGCAGAGGCACATTTAACGTCTTGTCTTGTTTGCTCCTCATTGCCAGACAGACACTGGTAATCCTGAGCCAACCGTCTCACGGGCCATCCTTGCTCTTAATGCATTACTAATCAATAAGCCACTTAAGACATTCTTTTCTATATGAGTGGGAATAATCTTTGTGAAGGGGAACACATGTGCATTATAATGTTTGAAGGGTGGTATGAACATACTCAAAATAAGGTAAGAGTCACAAAACTTCGCAGAGGAATGTGTGATTAGCACTTGCGTTCTGGTGAAAGAAGGCAGCCTGTGGCCTGAGCCAAGTTTAAATGGCTGTGTATATGGTGAGCCTAAACAGGACGTGGACATCTGAGCTTGGATTACTGGGGAATGTACGCCAGCAGCAATTATCATCATCACAATGCAACATTTGGACTCCAATCCATGCTTCTTTAGCAACATGAGATAATTTGGAATGCAATGGTCTGTTCTTTTAAAGTAAATTGCTACCCTCGCCGTTCCACAGAAAACCTGAAAGCACATGTACAATTCCTGCTCAGGGCTTTGAAAAGGGAAAGGTTGTGGGGAACTGAGACCTCTTTGCCCAGGCCTTTCATTTTGCAAACCTTTTGTGTAACCTCACGAAGGCATCATTCCAATCATGACACTTCTGTGGCCTAACAATATCTTACATATATCATTCCTTTTTACACTAATAAACTAGTTCCACTGCATGCAAATAAAGAAAGAAAACCCCTCCATTTTCAGTCATACTGTTTGCAGATCACATAGTGTGTGTGTGTGTGTGTGTGAGAGAGAGAGAGAGAGAGAGAGAGAGAGAGAGAGAGAGAGAGAATTTCCTAATTTGCAGTTTTTCTTCCCAAGAGCAAAAATTGTTCTCCCCAGTGCAAAAAATTGGATCTCATGGGCACAGCGATCTATCTCATATTATTCTTATTTTTACGGGGAAAGCTACGGGTTTAACTCTTGGTTTTCAGTAAAGAGCAAGTGTGGCATACAGACAGTACAAGTTAAGGTACTTCTTTGCCTCCTGACGTGGCATAATTGTATATGTTCCACAAGAGAATTTCGGTCTGAAGTGTGATTTTCCATTTCAGCCTCCATTTCACTGCAAACTGTATTTGTTTAGAGCACCCGAGCCTGTCACAACGTTGATGAACCTTCCTTGAAGTGGTGGTTATTTATAGCCAACTAGACAGAACACTAGTCTGATCCAGTCTGTTAATTTTCATGTGTTTGTTATCTGTCCCTTAAACACTGGAAAACAAACCTCATTCACAGCATTATTGTCTATATAACATGGCTCATTTGGTATGGTGTGTACTCCTTCGTTTGCTTTATTCGGGTACTTAAAGATCAAAAGGGATCTGATCCAGTGATTGTCCCATCAAGCTAGGATGTTCTCTGAATTTAGCTCCTTATAATAATAAATACATTGTTAAAAACACTACACAATGCCTGCTGCCTGCATTTTCAAATTTAGGTTAATTGAACGTGAGAATGGGTTTGGATGAACAATGGGACCAAATGATAAACACCAAAAAAACAGGGTAAATGCAACCTGTCTTGCCAAGGTCACTGCAGAAAGCACTAAATAATAACCTACTGCTAAAAGCTGACGTGGTTTGTTCGACTTGGCATATTGTAAAGAAAGCTCGGAATGCACATAGCAATGTTTGACCTTTAGGATGGCACAGTGCATGTATATAAAATGCTGAGTTAGAAAACTGTCAGATAAAATATAGAGATGAGATAATAGTCAGAAAGATAATGTTAAATGGGTTCCCAGTATGCTAAAACTATCAGGTTTCTTTGAAGTGGCATGTGACCTCACTAGGCTATCAGTTTCTTTTGTGCTCACTGGTGTTTGTTTTGAGGATGAGGACATGAGATGATGCACGCAGGACTAGTGCCATCTGCTGGCAGTCTCCTGAAGGACAGGAG